AATATTTGCGTGAATGGGGTGAAGTCTGCCATCTCTGATTGCCTTGTTCTGGATCATGTTATTCTGCATCATTGTTCTGGATCATGTTGTTCCAGATCATTGTTCTGGATCATGTTGTTCCGGATCATCATTCTGGATTAATTGTTCCGCATCATATTGTCCTATGACAGTGTTAGAAGGATTGTGACTGCTATATTTGTGATGTACTGGGGGGGAAGGGTATTTGTTGGTTGTTAGTATTGCTTGGTGGTAAGATGATTGAAATAACTGATTGCAATTTGCAATTTGGTTCTATTGTTATACTACATAAATTGAGACACCAAACTGGTTCACAAGTATATTCTGGTTACCAAATGAGTCATAATAGTGTTCATATTGCAATAGTTTTCAAGCATTTCTGAAATTAAGTTATGACATGGACATTTCACTCATCCTCAGCGGAGCTCTCTAGGCCGACAGGCCTCTTGTTTGTTAATGGTTTGAAAGAATTATCGGGAGGATTAAGAGAGGCAATATTATTTTGATGACCTTTTCTGCTAATGTTTGCTAAGGGTGCCAATATTAGTTGAGAGCACAGTGTAACAATGGCAACAGCACGCGATTCAAAGTGATTCCGAAGACGAACAAAGACAGTATGATCACTGAGTGATTTTTTTTTTATTTACAGCCTGCCAATCAAAATCAGTCAGATTTTTCATAACATCACATTCAAAATGGCAGACAACACAACCAAAAACTATTCACAGAAACCAGTAACCAGTAATGGCGTCAGTCTGGAGGCCCACGTCTTTGTTCAAAATTGTTTTTGTAACACAATCTGTGTAGTTATAGCTCTTACCTTGGACAGGCCTTTTGTGAGGACTCCTGCAAATATGCATAAAATACCGTTGAAGGAACGGTCCGGAAATATTGGGAAAACTTACTTTTTTGAACATTTTAATCTCCTTCTTCATGAGACGATTCTGTGACGCCACCTGCCAGACCGTGGGGGGAATGAGGGATAAATGTTCCTGAGAAAAGAGAAATAAATCAGATTTACAGCTGATAAAATAAGGGCCTGTTTCACTTTACCCAATGAGCTTAAAGACTGGGCAGTGCCTGTACAACTGGACACAGACCGCACACACACCCACCTACAACTGACACAAACACACACACACACACACAAACACCTGGACCGACAGACACACACACACACACACACACACACACATGCACGCACAACTGGACAGACGGACGCACACACACACACGCGCACGCACGCACAACTGGACATACACACGCCGCGCAACTGGACGTACAGACACACAGACACACACACACACACACACACAGGCACACAAGAAACAAGGTTACTTTTTTACTCGTTTGATATTTCCATTTTTTCCCGTTAAGTGATCTGTAAGGATTTCTTAAAGGCGTTTCTTTTTATCCAGTTCAGAAGCCCATGTTAAAGTGTTAAGACAGCTAAAACAGGACTCCTCAAAACACACATTTTCTCTCAGTCCAAAGAGCACTGCTGGAGAAAACAAGGTGATGGTGACAATAATCAGCCAATGATCTCAACACATCTGTAAATCCTCAACTAGTACTGCTCATCAGCAGTGAGTACTGTATACGAGATCAGGCAGCACCATGTATGCTGCCATCTCGTGTCAGGTGCTGACACTGCATTTTTATTTGCTGACACAGATACTGACTGGTCCTGCTCATCAGCAGTGAGTACTGTATACGAGATCAGGCAGCACCATGTATGCTGCCATCTAGTGTCAGGTGCTGACACTGCATTTTTATTTGCTGACACAGATACTGACTGGTCCTGCTCATCAGCAGTGAGTAGTACTGTATTTAGATCAGGCAGCACCATGTATGCATCTAGTGTCACCACTGCATTTTTTATTTGCTGACACAGCCATCTCAGCAGTGAGTCAGGTCAGGCAGCACCATGACACTAGTGTCAGGTGCTTTTTTTTTTGCTCACACAGATACTGACTGGTCCTGCTCATCAGCAGTGAGTACTGTATCAGATCAGGCAGCACCATGTATGCTGCCATCTAGTGTCAGGTGCTGACACTGCTTTTTTATTTGCTCACACAGATACTGACTGGTCCTGCTCATCAGCAGTGAGTACTGTATACGAGATCAGGCAGCACCATGTATGCTGCCATCTAGTGTCAGGTGCTGACACTGCATTTTTATTTGCTCACACAGATACTGACTGGTCCTGCTCATCAGCAGTGAGTACTGTATACGAGATCAGGCAGCACCATGTATGCTGCCATCTAGTGTCAGGTGCTGACACTGTGCATTTTTATTTGCTCACACAGATACTGACTGGTCCTGCTCATCAGCAGTGAGTACTGTATCAGGCAGATCAGGCAGCACCATGTATGCTGCCATCTCAGCAGTGTCAGGTGCTGACACTGACATTTTTATTTGCTCACACAGATAGCAGTGAGTACTGGTCCAGCACCATGCTCAGTGTCAGCAGTTTTTATTTGCTCAGTACTGACTGGTCCTGCTCATCAGCAGTGAGTATCAGGCAGCACCATGTATGCCATCTAGCCACACTCTTTTTAGTGATCACTGGTCCTGCTGACACTGCAGGCAGCACCATGTTTTTATTTGCAGGTGCTGACACATTTTTATTTGCAGATACTGACTGGTTTCCTATCAGCAGTGAGTACACCAGTTCCTGCTCATCAGCAGTGAGTACTGTATACGAGATCAGGCAGCACCATGTATGCTGCCATCTAGTGTCAGGTGCTGACACTGCATTTTTATTTGCTCACACAGATACTGACTGGTCCTGCTCATCAGATCAGGCAGTGATGTGCCATCTGTATCAGGTGCTGACACTGATCAGGCAGCACCATGTATCTAGTATCAGGTGCTGACACTGAATTTTTATTTGCTGACCATCTCATCAGCAGTGAGTACTGTAGTGTCATGTATGTGCTGTCACTGCTGACATTTTTTATTTGCTCACACAGATACTGACTGGTCCTGCTCATCAGCAGTGCAGTACTGTATCCATCTAGATCAGGCACACTGCATTTTTGTATGACTGGTCCTGCCATCTAGTGAGTACTGTATATTTAGATCAGGCAGCACCATGTATGTGCATTTTCAGGTGCTGACACTTTTTTTATTTGCTGACACAGATACTGACTGGTCCTGGTCCAGCAGACAGGGGTGTATTCAACCACCATGTCCTCCATCTAGTGTCAGGTGCTGACACTGCTTTTTATTTGCGACACAGAACTGTCACTAATTTTGCACTCTCCTTTTACCTGGTGTCAGGTGTAATGACAGTTTGGCTAATCAAAAGCATTAGCTGTCCAGCTAATGAGTTAATTAGCAGGGAGAAAAGAAAACCTGGCCTGGATTTGGATTAAAGACTGGATTTGTTGATCCCAGGTTTATTGCTTCATTATTACAGGCCTTACTGTGGGTCATATTTACAGATCTATAGAAATGGAAAAGTACAGAATGAAACCTTTAAGTGCTCGTGAGATTAGAGGGCTGTTTGTTTTAAAAATGGCTGAATATTCATCATCTCACCCCAGACAGAATGCAGCAACACTGAGACACATGAGGTTATTCCGAGTCAACATAGCACAAAAATGTGTGAGAACCGACATCATCCAGAGTTATTTTAGGGTCTTGTCTTATTCTCCACATTCTTGTGAGCTCATTTATCTCCTGTGCTGGTGTGTTATGTTTCAGATACACTATGTTACCGCCCACAGTGCATTCCTCTGTCACTCGCACGGCCCAGCAATAACAGCTAAACCAACACCTTACTCTAAAGCACAGGAACAATAAACAAACTTCCCAGAGTCATCATCAGCATTATTAAAAAGCATTAAAATTACAATAATATTTTCACCCCTAACACCACCACCCTCCAAAAACTATCTGTGCTCTCAATTCTGCCCACAGACCCAGACAGGGATGCCTGCTGCAGTATTTGTTCCCCTATCCTGAGATATTAGGGACTTTAAGCAACGGCGGATTTTGCGACGGCTATGGAACCCGGAAATAGATCTGTGCTCCGCTGATCGAGTCTTAAGCCGGCGTGCCGGCGTTGCTTGCCGCAGCAGGCTGATCTACTACGGGGAATGAACCAATCTCACGTAATCCCTACAACGCTTGGTTCAGGTGATTGAATTAAATGGTTTTCATTTTATTTCTGAAATGAAATGTGTTCTACAATTGACAGTGACACACTATACATGACATGTTTCAGCGAACCTTTCCCACAGATACAGGATACTAAGTATATTTCACTGTATAAAACCATAGTGAACTGTTTTCTGCTGTAGGCTATATTCTTTCCTCATCCTTGCATTGCATACAGCACATAATTTCTCTGTATACCCAATAAATATCTATATTTACTCCCATGTACATTAATCTTTATTCTACTGCTGTGCATATATAGCACACATATGCTGTATATATATATGCACACTCCCATGCATTTTACCATTCGTTCACACTCTGATTAGATGTGTGCTTAAATTGTCAAATTTTATGTCTTTTTTTAATTGAATTGTTCAAAATAAAGTTTATAAAAAAGATGGACATTTTGTTATGCTTTGTACCTGTACTTGGCAGAATGACAATAAATTTGAATAATCTCATCTAATATTAACAGTTTCCCATTTCCACCTGAAGCTATTTCATCTGCCCCTTTTGCCAGTGGGAGTGGGACAAATAAGCGCTCATAGAGATAAGATAAGATTTTTTAAGATACACTTTATTGAACCCCATGGGGTAATTTGTCCTCTGCATTTGACCCATCCTATAGTTAGGAGCAGTGGGCAGCTACAGAGCAGCGCCCGGGGACCAACTCCAGTTCTAAAGCCAGTTCCTTGGTCAGGGGTTCTGGTAGGAGTGTTCCTGTGATGCATGTTTTTGTGGGTGGGGGAAACCAGAGTACCTGGAGGAAACCCACGCGAACACGGGGAGAACATGCAAACTCCACACAGAAAGGCCCCAGGCCGGAATCGAACCCACGACCTTCTTGCTGTGAGGCGACAGTGCTAACCACGGCGCCACTGCGTCGCCCAACTTACTGTAACAGTGCCGCCCAACCTAACCTACTGTAACAGCAGGTTACAGTTACAATTACAGATCACACTGAACTAACTTCTTTGATAACAAACTTTGATCAAAATCCGCCGTTGCTTAAAGTCCCAACTGGATCTGACGGCCACAGCACCAGGAGAGATTTATTTCTGGGTGCCGTAGCTGTCGCAAAACCCGCCGTTGCTTAAAGTCCCTAATATTAACACCACTAAACACATCATGAGGAGGAACACGGCTCCTTTAATAAACACCCTCTACACAGGAGCGTATAACTACCACACACACACTCCATAGTTTTACCCGCTACCTCTCCACCTATAGCTTTTTCTGTAAAATCTTTTATTATTTTTGGGTTAGAGAGACAGGCTGAGAGAGAGAGAGGGAGAGAGAGAGAGAGAGAGAGAGAGAGAGAGAGAGAGAGAGAGAGAGAGAGACGTGTGGATGTTGCAGCTCGTGATGAACAGGAGGCCTGAGCTCCACAGCGCCCCCTCAGGACAGTACTCACTGTAGCGACGGCAGTCAGCATCTGCTCCTCCATCGCTCTGTATTTTCCCTCCATTTTCTCCATCTGGTATCGGCACAAGGCCGCCACGCCCTCCTGCTCATCCTGCACAGCAGAGACCATCAGCTGCATCAGCCGGAGCCCAGCCCATAAAGGGCCCTTTAAGGCACAGCATGCGGGATGATTACCCAATCACTGCGCTCCAGCTCATTCTGCACCCTGCTCACTCTCCTCCATTTTCATATTACACATCCTTTTTTATTCCTTTATTCTGACTATTTCTAGTTCTCTTCATCACTGACTCCACAGGCCTGTGCTCCTTCATTTCTGTATTTTCAGCAGTTAGCCTAGCCATAAACGCCAAAGCCTGACCCCACAGCGCTGGCTCTTTGGTTACACCCGCCCCCTCCACACACTGGTGCCCGTACAGTTACTGCTTCAAGCCCTCAGAGGGGTTTTACATTTTGGCCCACATCTGGAGAGATGAACCCTGCTGTTGGGCCCTTGAGCAAGGCTCTTTACCCCAAAATCCAGGTATTTCACAACAGTTTCTAAATATCGCTCCTCCTCACAAACGTCCTGACTCCTCTCCCAGACGCGTTCTCAACTGAACATCCAAAGATAAATAAAGGCTTAAAAAAAAGCAATATGTCCAGTAACATGCCAAACATCAGAGATCTTCCAATCATGGTTCTCGAGAGCCAAGAATTGTTCGTTTTCTACCCTCCCTTTACCTGAGTGTCAAGGCTGGTGACAGGCTGGTCACTGAGAGTCAATAATGTTCATTTGATTGCCTGATATAAACTCAGGGCTGGAATCAGACTGAAGGCCTAGATTTGAGGAGTCTCGTCATAGATGAAGTATAGACACACATTCCACAGACACAGAGACTGCCAATGTACCATAGATATGACGAACCATGAATGATCTAACCACACATCTATTATCTAACCCAGGGGCCCCCAATCTTTCCCAGAAAGGGCCGGTGAGGGTGCAGGCTTTCATTGCAACCAAGCAGCTACACACTTGATGCTACTAATCAAGCTTATTAGCAAAGAGTCCTGGGATTGATCAGTAGTATCAGGTGTGTCATTGCTTGGTAGCAATGAAAGCCTGCACTCACACCGCCCCTTTCTGGGAAAGATTGGGGACCCCTGATCTAACCCATCCATTCATTATCCAACCCATCCATCCACTATCAAACAATCCATTCATTATTTAACCATCCATCCATTATCTAACCCATCCATCTATTATCGAACCCCATCCACCCATTATCTAACATCTATTCATTATCCAACCCATCATTCACTATCAAACCATCCATCCATTATTTAACCATCCATCCATTATCTAACCCATCCATCTATTATCTAACCCCATCCACTCATTATCTAACATCTATTCATTATCCAACCCATCCATTCACTATCAAACAATCCATCCATTATTTAACCATCCATCCATTATCTAACCCATCCATCTATTATCCAACCAATCCATCCACTATCAAACAATTCATCCATTATTTAACCATCCATCCATTTTCTAACCCATCCATCTATTATCCAACCAATCCATCCACTATCAAACAATCCATCCATTATTTAACCATCCATCCATTTTCTAACCGATCCATCTATTATCCAACCTATCCATCCACTATCAAACAATCCATCCATTATTTAACCATCCATCCATTTTCTAACCCATCCATCTATTATCTAACCCATCCATCCATTATGTAATCATGCATCCTTTAACTAACACATCTACGAATTATGTAACATATCAATCCAACATTTAACATATCCATTGACAAATCCATCCTTCCAGTATATAATCATCACTCCATTATCTATCCCATGCAATCATGATCTAACATCAATTGTTTACCTAATCATCCATCCATTTTATAATACTCATTCCTGCTCAGGGTAGTAGAGGGGTTGATGCGTATCCCAGTACCCAATGCAGAGGAGGTCATAACACACCCTGGATATTTACCCCCTGCAGGGAGTAGATACAACAGAGCATGGCAACGTTTCACGTGAAGGAGATTCCACCTGCAGTGTCTGTTTCAGGCTGCGGATGTTGCTGTTCATCTTGGCGATGGTCAGCGCTCTCACAGGGTACTGCATGTCCCTGTACGTCCGGAGTGTGTGCGCCCTCTCCCGCCCCTTCTGTACGTCCTCACTCACACTGCTCAACTGCTCCCGCAAACCTGGCAACCCACACACAGAGCAACTCAGGGGACTGATATACAGTACACACACACACAGCTCAGCTGCTCCCACAAACCTGGCAACCCACACACAGAGCAACTCAGGGGGGCTGATATACAGTACACACACACACACACTGCTCAGCTGCTCCCGCAAACCTGGCAACCCACACACAGAGCAACTCAGGGGACTGATATACAGTACACACACACACACACACACACACACACACACACTGCTCAGCTGCTCCCACAAACCTGGTAACCCACACACAGAGCAACTCAGGGGACTGATATACAGTACACACACACACACACACACACACACACACACACAGCTCAGCTGCTCCCACAAACCTGGCAACCCACACGCAGAGCAACTCAGGGGACTGATATGCAGTACACACACACGCACACACTGCTCAGCTGCTCCCACAAACCTGGTAACCCACACACAGAGCAACTCAGGGGACTGATATACAGTACACACACACACTGCTCAGCTGCTCCCACAAACCTGGTAACCCACACACAGAGCAACTCAGGGGACTGATATACAGAACACACACACACACACACACACTGTTCAGCTGCTCCCGCGAACCTGACACCCCACACACAGTGCAACTCAGGGGACTGATACACACACCAGGGCTGCTCAATTAATTGAATCGCGATTATTTTAAGCGCAATAAAAGTAACTGCCACCATGAGGCAGACAGACGTGCTTGCTTATTACCTTTTCTATGACACATACCTAATGCGGTCATTTGAAATGCTTCCGGGAAGAAAACTGTGATTTGAAGTCCCTTAATTACGAGCGAGGTTAGACAGCCTCCATCGCCTTGGCATAATTAGCTTACCTTAAATCAATTCCCGTGTACTTTGCCTAACTTGCAAATCAAGCCATTTATTCAGCCAAATGACCAATCAAAACCAAAATGTGGCCTATAATGATTAACCCATTTAGGCCTGAGGCCTATTCAAAAAACGCCTATGAAAACCTATGGGCGATTTTGAAAAGAACCCCTAAAACCTGAGGTTTTCTGGAAAACAGCACCCAGGTGTCAACTTCTAGTAAAAAGCTGATATCTCAGCCTCTGTAGCAGATAGAAACAAAATTCAAAAAGTATTTGAGAGCTTACACCTGTGGCTTTCATAAGAACTATGTTTTTTATTTGTGCAAATCTTCATCACAATATTTAAAACACTGAACAAACTATAACAAACTATAAAATATAATAAAACCAATAAAATAAATAACAAATCTCCATCTACATAACATGCACAACTCAAATTGAATAAAGAGGCCTAATACAGCGCCCTCCATAATTATTGGCACCCCTGGTTAAGATGTGTTCTTTAGCTTCTTATAAATTCAGTTTTTTTCTAAATAATATAGGACCACAATGAAAAAAAGAGGAAAATCCAACCTTTAATTCAAGTGCATTTATTCAGTGGGAAAAAAATCCCACAATAAGAAATAATTCTTTTACATCAAATCATGTGTGCCACAATTATTAGCACCCCTGATGTTAATACTTTGTACAACCCCCTTTTGCCAACAAAACAGCATCTAATCTTCTCCTATAATGTTTCACAAGATGGGAGAATACAGAAAGAGGGATCCTCGACCATTCCTCTTTGCACAATCTCTCTAAATCATCCAGCGACCTGGGTCCTCTCCTCTGCACTCTCCTCTTCAGCTCACTCCACAGGTTTTCAATGGGGTTGAGGTCTGGGTACTGAGATGGCCATGGGAGGAGCTTGATTCTGTGTCTGGCGAACCATTTCTGTGTAGATTTGGCCACATGTTTAGGGTCATTATCTTGCTGAAAGACCCAGTGACGACCCATCTTCAGCTTTCGGGCAGAGGCCACCAGATTTTGATTTAAAATGTCCTGGTATTTCAAAGCGTTCATGATGCCATGCACCCTAACAAGGTTCCCAGGGCCTCTGGAAGAGAAACAGGCCCACAGCATCACTGATCCTCCCCCATACTTCACAGTGGGCATGAGGTGCTTTTCTGCATACTCATCTTTTGTGTTCCGCCAGCCCCACTTAGAGTGTTTGTTGCCAAAAAGCTCTATCTTGGTCTCATCTGACCAAAGCACACGGCCCCAGTTGAAGTCCCAGTACTGCTTAGCGAACTCCAGACATTTGCGTTTATGATTGTGAGTGAGAAAAGGTTTTTTCCATGCATTACTCCCAAACAGCTCGTGGGCATGTAGATAGCGCCTGATGGTTGTT